TTGTGTCACAGGAGGAGAAAAGCCCTGATGGCAAGAGTGGTGCAGAGGGGATGGGGGTGGGGCGCTTGCAGAACATGGCTCCTGCCTCTCTGACCAGCAAGCCATGTCAGAAGGAAGTCCTTGGGCTGCAAGTGACCTCTGCACACGAGGTGCCGATGTGCTGTGACACATGACAGAGGGCATGTGAACGTGCGAGCGAGGAAGTGAGGACAGAAGCCCGGCCTTCCCTTCCTGCCTTGTGAAGCACAGTCTGGTGCACACAGACCGAATTTTAGAAAACACAGCTCTGAGGCCTGCGGGACGGAGCCATGTCCTGCCCTCACACCTTCTCGTGAAAGGAATGAACTGCCCCTCTGCCCGTATTCTCCGTTTCCTGCGTGAATCTGGGTTCTGCGGAGCAACGGGGTGTGTGTGCACACACATGAGCTTGTGTGTGACCATGTGCATGCGTGTGCAAGCTGCATGTGTGTGTGAAGAGAGATTAATTTATTGCATGCAATTGTGGAGACTTGCAGTCCAAAATCAGATGGGGCTGCAGGGAGGTTGAGACCCGGAACTCAGAGAAGAGTGCAAGTTGAAAGGTTTCTGCTGCAGGGAGCTCAGTCTTTGTTCTAGTCACACCTTGCACTGATTGGATGTGGCCCACCCACATTATGGACAGTAACCTGCTTCACTCAAAGTTCACTTAGATCTAAATGTTATTGCACTCAAAAACAACAATAACAACAACTTCACAGAAACATCCAGAATGAAAAACCAAGTTGACAGATAAAATTAACCATCCCAGCAGGGCACAGTGGCTCACATCTGTAATCCTAGCTACTTGGGAGGCTGAGATTGGGAGGATCACAGTTCAAGGCCAGCCCAGGCAAATGGTTCTCGCGACCACCTCCCCCCCATCTCCAAAATAACCAAAACAAAATGGACTGGAGCTGTGGCTCAAGTGGTAGAGCTCCTGCTTTGCACAGTCACAGCACCTGAAGTGATCTACAAGAGGAAACTGGGAGGAGTGCTGGAGGAGCTGGCCAGGAATATGTTCTCATCAAGCAGAACCCTGCCAGGGTGACCGAGGCAGACAGAGAGACCCCAGACCCACAGGGACAGCATCAACGAAGTCAGTCTCAAAGAGGAGGCTGCTCACTAGGGCTCAGCCAGGCCTGGATGTGGCACTTGGCCTGCAGCCACAAAAGTGCCATATTGAGGATGCTCCCTGGAGCAGCACAGGGGACCCTCTCAGCAGTGTGATGGTGTAATCCCCAGTTTGCCGACCGGGATACCAAGGCCAAAGTGAATACAAAAATGAATGAAGGAACTAGCAAATGAATAAAGCACTCTGAAAGGACTCTGGAGAATGTGCACTTGTAACCTAGAGCTGGCTTTGAGCATGGCTTTTTCTCTCCAACTGAAGCCTTAGAGAAATGGGTGAGTCCATGACCGTGGTGAGATGCCATCAGAGGGGTTGGTGGGTTCCCAAGGCCCCTGATCCTTCTGCCAGGAATTGCAGAACTAGGAGTCTAGAATGTGGGATAAATCAGCAGCCCTGCCCTCTCAAAGACTGAAAGCTTAAACCAGAACCAAGGGTAGCAATAATACTGTGTGTGTTCCCTTCCCTGTGGCTCCCTCTCCCAGGAAAAGTGCAGAGGACTGAGCTGCTGCACAGGCCACAGCAGGGCTTTCTGGGTCCTGACCTTCACAAAGATCACAGGTGGGACAGCCAGAGTGAGCAAATAACGCATTGTGCAGAGGCAGACCCTTCCTGTGTGAAAGGGGCACTGTTAATATTTATGGCAACCCCTATGAGCATACCTGGAAGTGTCCCCGGCCACAGGGCATCTCATCTCAGGAGAAAGGTCTGGGAGCAAGTGCTGTGCTGTGCAGTGTGGTGCGGAGAGAGAGCAGCCCAGGTGTCTCCAGCAGCTCCAGGCAGTCAGGACTGCTACTCACCTGTCCCGGCCACCAGTGCATTCCTTGTGCCTTTGTACTTGTCATTCCCCATATACACACATGACTGAGCTCTGTGCCTACCCTGAACTGTCCCTCAGCTCTTCTGTCCTTAACCACAGGGGACAGAGGCTTCACTCACATCTGTTTACCCATCAAGACCACCAGGTCCTTGCAGTCAGTCGACTTTCCTAACTCCCCGGCAAACCTCACCTGACTGTTTACCAGACCGAAGCCCAATGACCTGAGTGGCCTGTCCCTAGAGAAGGCCACTGACCCCATGAAATACTGCCAAACCCAACCAAATGCCATCTAACAAGCTGGGAGACACAAGGGTTGAAATTTAACTGCTGGACTCCAGGGTTTCAGTGAGGGCCTCAGAAAGACAGGGCTAAACCCCACTCCACAGTTAGCCTGACCACCAAAGGCAGTGGGAAAATCACCGTCTTTGGTTGGGGAGCAAACCCAGTATGCTCAGGGCAGCAAGCCTGGGCAGTGCCTCCTGCAGGCCTTCCAGGCTGGTAAAGCAGATGTGGGGGCCTATCCAAGGTCATGCTGCAAGGTCGGAGAGATGGTGTGGCCAGTATTGCTGTGCACGGAAAAACAGGAATGTCATTCGTAAGTACATGCTTGGACTCAATCTATGACTGGATGTTGGTGCAGTTATAGGTGCTCTCCAACAACAGCTTGGGTTCCAACGTATGTTCTATCTCTTTGACATTTGGTGACCTGAACAAGTCATTTATGTCTCCCAGTGAGTTGCTGGGAAGCAATAGGTACTCTGTGAGCTTGACTGGACCTTCCTCTTTCTGGCTCAAATGCTTCCCTTGTGAAATAAGGGCATGTGGTGATGGTGGCTAAGTTCTGTCCTAAGTCAGCACCCACCCTTTCTGTGCTCCAGCAGCTGGGAGGGCCAGGGCACCACTGGGTATGGGCACTAGACAGGTGAGCGCTTGGCTGAGTTGCCCCGTCTCCCTGAGCCTGAGCTTCCTCATCTGAAGACCACGGTGACTAGATGCTGTGTCCTGGCAGGGGGAAGGAAGGCCATGGAGCAAGCTCAGCTCACACTGGCTCTCAGTGAACATCACCGGCCTCTCCAGGTCCTCCCTGGGCCCTCACCCAGCATGACACCCACTTCTGTTTGGAGACCACAGGAATGGGCTCTGATCTGACTCCTCTGAGGGAGTGATCTCAGGCCTGTGAAAGGGGTACATTGCCTAAGTGTGCAAACCAACACCCTTTCCCTGTTATTCTGGTCCAGATTCAAGGGGACTCAAAGAATTAGCATGAAGAGAAAAATTGAAAGTTATTGGGACCCACTATTTTTTCCTTCCTTTCTTCCTCCCTCTCTTCCTTCCTTTCCTTCTTTCTTTTGCAATACTGAGCTTGAACTCAGAGCCTCGATCACACTAGGCAGGTGCTCTACCACTTGACACACTCCTACCCCTTTTCTACCTTGAGTACTTTTCAGATAAGGTCTTGAATTTTTGTCTAAGCCAATCTGGACCATGATCCTCAGCCTACTTGTGGCTCCCACATAACTATAATCATAGGTGTGCGTCACCTGCTTATGTTTTGAGATAGGGTCTTGTGTCTTTGCCTGGGCTGGTCTTGAACCATAATCCCATCTCTGCCTGTTGAATAGTTGAGATTACAGGCATGAGCCACTTCACCTATTTAGGACCCACATTTTAAACCTCCACTCAGTAAGATCCTAGGTGGAACCCTTGTAACCTCCCCACGGTACCATCCCTAAGCCCTGTCCTTTCAGGGACACAGACACTCCTTATGGGTTCCTGGACCAGCAGCCTCACCTGGAAGCCTGCTGGAAATGCCAAGCGCAGGGCCTGACCCAGACATGCCAGTAAGTCCAAACCATACAGAAGGAGAAAGTGTCTTAGAATCTCTGAGCCTCAGTTTTGTCATCTGTAAATGGAGGTTGGTGACAGTAGTTACCTTGCTGCATGCTGGAAGAACGAAATGAGGGGACTTCAGTCAGCTGGCTGGGGACCTTTTGCTCTCTGTGGAGAGGAATCGTGGGTAGGTGAGGAGACAGTCCGCCAGTGTGCCTGGGCACTCAGGCTGGAGGCGGTTGCTCTGGACTTTAGCACTTGACAGCTGTTGGGTCCTGGGCTTCAGCAGCAGCAGGCCATGCCTGACCGCGCCTCAGGCTGGGACCCTCGGCTCCTCCTCCTGTGGCAAGTGTCACAGCTCTCAGGCCTCAGGTGTCAGGACCCTTGACCCTAAGGGTTGGCAGGTCTCTGGAACCTTCCAGTGACCTTGTCGCCATGGCTTCTGCTCCCTGCCCCAGTGGCTGTCAGAACTCTCAGCCATCCTCTCACTGCCACTGCTCTGCCACCTTCATGACTGCTGTCACTCCACTGCCACTTCCACCATCTCCTCTTAAAGTTACCAGCTCAGCGCTCTCCACCTACGACAAACATCAACACTAGGCAAGAAAAGCTCCTGAATGACTGAGAAGATGAAGGGAAGAGCCTGCTTATATAGCCAGGAAAGGGGGGTGTGGCATGTGCTAAGGTGTTTGCACCAATCAGAACACAGTCCTCATGCACCTGAAGGATTTGAGCACCAATCAGAACGTGGGTCCTCATGCAAATAACGGACTGTGTTTGCACCAATCACAGGCTTTCTGCTGGGCCTCCCAAGGGAAGGGCTCCCCTTCTGGTCAGGAGAAAAACGCCTGCAGGCTCAGGGGCGGGATCGTGGTCTGACCCTGGGTCCAGCAGCGACCCACACATTGGATGGGCTACGGCGACACGGAAGCTGGTGAGGAGGTCACGGTGTCTACCAGCGCAGTGGGGCCTGGGCTTCCACAGCTCAGCAGGATGCTGATCCCGGTTAGCTTCAGCCTGACGCTCCACGTGCTCTTAGGGGGCGGAGCCCTGTGAGGGGCCGAGCCTAAATGGGGCGGGGCCTGTCGGCGCGGACCAACTGCAGCGTCGGACGGGCCTTGCGTAGCGGGTGCAGGGCGGTGACCGGCAGAGCCTTTGCGGTATGGGCGGGACCTGTCTGGGGGCGGTGCCTGTCAGGACTGACCAATGGCGGCGGTAGTGGGCGGGGCCTGGCGGCGGGTAACTGCCACTGTGGGCGGGGCCGGCGAGCACCGGGATAAAGGCAGCGCCGGGCCGCGCGGACCCAGGCGCAGCAGGTCGGGGCGCGCAGTGTCCTCCTCGGCCGCGCGCGTGCCTCGTGTTCAGGCCCGGCGAACCGGCACGGGGAGCATGGCGCGGGCGAGCATCACGCTGCTCAACGGCGTGGCCATCATCGTGGGCACCATCATCGGCTCGGGCATCTTCGTGACGCCCACCGGCGTGCTCAAGGAGGCCGGCTCGCCGGGGCTGGCGCTGGTGGTGTGGGCCGTGTGCGGCGTCTTCTCCATCGTGGGCGCGCTCTGCTACGCCGAGCTGGGCACCACCATCTCCAAGTCCGGCGGCGACTACGCCTACATGCTGGAGGTGTACGGCTCGCTGCCCGCCTTCCTCAAGCTCTGGACCGAGCTGCTTATCACCTACCTGCTCAAGCCGCTCTTCCCCAGCTGCCCCGTGCCCGAGGACGCCGCCAAGCCGTTCCCTGTCCCTGCACGTAGCTGACCTCTCTTCCTACCTCGGATTGTCCCTCGGCTCCCAGGCACAGGGTCAGCCCCAGAGAGGACAGACTTCGCTCACATCCGTTTACCCATCAAGGCCCCAGGGGCTCGCAGCCACTCCCCGTCAAGCTTCATAACTCACCTGCAGAACCCGCTGCTTCCAGACGGAAGCACAACGACCTGAGTGGCTTGTCTCCAGCGAAAGCCACTGATCCCAAGACCCACCCCTAAACCCCAACGAACTCCACCCAACAAGCTGAGACAGATAAGGGTTGAAATTTAACTGGTAGACTCTAGGGTTTCGGAGAGGGCATCAGAAAGAAGGGCCCACTCTTTGGTGGCCTGACCACCAAAGGCAGGCAGTGGGGAAATCACGCCTTTGGTGGGGGAGCAAACCCAGGATGCTCAGGGTGGCAAGTCTGGGCAGTGCTTCCCGCAGGCCTTCCTGTCTAGCCTTTCTTGTCAAGCAGATGTGGGGGCCTATCCAAGGTCATGCTGCAAGGTCAGAGCATTCCTGGGCACAGAGAAACAGGAATGGCACTTGTAAGTATGTCCTCAAACTCCCCCATCTGTGATTGGATGTTGGTATACTTACAGGGTGGCTTTTAGATGAGTCCCCAGCCAGCAGCTTGTGTTCCAGTATCTGCTCTGTCTCTTTGGTACTTGGTGACTCTGAGCAAGTCATTTGATGTCCCCCAGTGAGTTTCTGAAAGCAGTAAGTACTTCGTGAGCTTGACTGGACCTTCCTCTTTCTGGCTCAAATGCTTCCCTTGTGAAATAAGGGCATGTGTTGATGGTGGCTAAGTTCTGTCCTAAGTCAGCACCCACCCTTTCTGTGCTCCAGCAGCTGGGAGGGCCAGGGCACCACTGGGTATGGGCACTAGACAGGTGAGCGCTTGGCTGAGTTGCCCCGTCTCCCTGAGCCTGAGCTTCCTCATCTGAAGACCACGGTGACTAGATGCTGTGTCCTGGCAGGGGGAAGGAAGGCCATGGAGCAAGCTCAGCTCACACTGGCTCTCAGTGAACAGCACCAGCCTCTCCAGGTCCTCCCTGGGCCCTCACCCAGCATGACACCCACTTCTGTCTGGAGACCACAGGAGTGGGCTCTGATCTGGCTCCTCTGAGGGAGTGATCTCAGGCCTGTGAAAGGGGTACATTGCCTAAGTGTGCAAACCAACACCCTTTCCCTGTTATTCTGGTCCAGATTGAAGGGGACTCTACGCAGGAATCCAAGGGGCCTTCAAGAAGTAGCATGGAGGGAAAACTGAAAGTCACAGGGACCCACTTTGTGTGTGTGTGTGTGTGTGTGTGTGTGTGTGTGGCTTGAACTCAGGGCCTCACACTTTCTAGGCAGGTGATCTACCACTCAGCTACACCCCAGCCTTTTTTTTGCTTTGATTCCTTTTCAGATAGGGTCTTGAGTTTTTGTCCAAGCCAACCTGAACCATGCTCCTCCTACTTATGGCTCCCACATAGCTGCACCCATAGGCACGCACCACCATACCCAGCTTGCTTTTTTGAGATTGGTTCTTGTGTTCTTGTCTGGGCTAACCTTGGGCCATAATCCTATCTCTGCCTGTTGATAGCTGGGATTATAGGCATGAGCCACCACACCTGATTTAGGACCCACATTTTAAACCTCCACCCAGTAGGATCCTCCTTGTTATCTCCCCCTATTGTACCACCACTAAGCCCTGTCATTTCAAGGACATACAACCTCGTGGGTCTCTGGACCAGCAGCCTCACCTGGGAACCTGCTGGAAATGCAAAGGCCAGGGCCTCATCCAGTCCTGCTAGTAAGTCCAAACCATACAGACGGGGACACTAACACAGACAGTCCCTCCTGCCAAGCTGCAATCCAGCTCCCAGAGGCTTAGGGAACATTCTTCTTACACTCCTGTCCGTGCACTCAGACTCGTGTGTCTGCATACATGAAGTCTTTCACAGTATAAGATGCACTGTCTCTACTTACTGCTCTGCATCTTCTGCTCTTTCCTGAAGTGTAGACACATTCCCACCCATACATTTTTTCTCTTAGGACAACCCTCAGAGACATCCAGACCACAAGAACACTTTGACTGCAATCCTGACCCTCTCACATGGTAGTTGTGCCCTTTGGAAAGTGTCTTAGCCTGAGCCTCAGTTTGTCATCTGTAAATGGAGGTTGGTGACAGTAGTTACCATGCTGCATGCTGGAAGAATGAAATGAGGGGACTTCAGTCAGCTGGCTGGGGACCTTTTGCTCTCTGTGGAGAGGAATCGTGGGTAGGTGGGGAGACAGTCTGCCAGTGTTAACAATCCTGGGCCCTTGAGTGCCAATGCCAAGGGGATGGACTGGCAGACCAGAGACTCACGGAGGGCCAGGGGCCCACTGCTGCAGGCTTTAGAAGTCAGAGACTAGGGCTCTGGCCACTCAGACTGGAGGCGGTTGCTCTGGACTTTAGCCACCAGCAGCCTGGCACTTGACAGCTGTTGGGTCCTGGGCTTCAGCAGCAGCAGGCCATGCCTGACCGCGCCTCAGGCTGGGACCCTCGGCTCCTCCTCCTGTGGCAAGTGTCACAGCTCTCAGGCCTCAGGTGTCAGGACCCTTGACCCTAAGGGTTGGCAGGTCTCTGGAACCTTCCAGTGACCTTGTCTCCATGGCTTCTGCTCCCTGCCCCAGTGGCTCTCAGAACTCTCAGCCATCCTCTCACTGCCACTGCTCTGCCACCTTCATGACTGCTGTCACTCCACTGCCACTTCCACCATCTCCTCTTAAAGTTACCAGCTCAGCGCTCTCCACCTATGGCAAAGATCAACAGTAGGCAAGAAAAGACCATGGGAGAGAAGCTTTTTATTTGGCCTAAGGCTGCAATACCAGGGGGCAGCACTGGAAGATGCCTCCTGGGTGACTCAGAAAGTGATCCAAACAGCCTGGTTTTATAGCCAGATTGTCTAGGGTGTTTGCACCAATCACACACAGTCCTCATGCACATGGAGGACTGCTTGAGCACCAATCAGACCATAACTCATCATGCAAATGACAGACTGTCTTTGCACCAGTCACAGGCCTTCTGCTGGGCCACCAAGGGGAGGTGTGGCTGCAGGGTCCTTCAGAGTTCACTGAGCCTTGTCTTGCTTCCAGCCCTGCTTTCCAAGGCCAGTACAGGCTGTCTGGAGTGGTCATGACAGGAGCAAGTGCTCCTCTGCAGCTGCTGGCGTGTCCTCAGAGAGATTGTGAAGTCTCCAAAACAGCTGGGCTGCCACGAGGACAGTCCAGTGGATTGTCAGTAAAGGGGCTGCTTGGCTCTCCCTGCTCGAGGCTGCCAAGCTTAGGAAAAGGGCCTGTCAGCTGGCCATGCTTGACAGTTTTAATCATTCCCAGAAAGCACTAAAGGGTGTTTACAATAAAGACCCAATGCAGCACTAATGATTCTAGTGTCACTTAGTGGTACTTAATAGTGTTTAAAATGCTCAGCAGTGCCTGACGCCTGTCCCAGCGCCGGGGGAGAGGTGGGTCCCTCTGCTCTGTCTCAATTGCTAGTAAGGCTTAAACCAGCCACGGTCCCTTGCAGCTGCTGTTTTTTCACTCTGGGCCATTGTATGGATACCCTGTGTTTTATTTAGGCATACCCTGGTGGTGACATCAAGTGGGCATCCAATTTTTAGTTGATTTACAGCATACTGCACACTGGATGCACACTGCACACTGTGTTGGGATGGTGACATTAATGTCAAGTGCCTAGATAAATTACACCATGGTTCAAAACTGTTTTGGGTGGACCTGGGGCTCTGCCACGTGTTTCAGAGCCCCACGATGGGCAGAACGTGTTCCGCCAAGCAGGAGAGATTTGAACTTGAGAGCAATTCATTCCTCTGTTTGGGTGTTGTATTTATTGGTAGTCTGCAGAATGTTTCATTTGCTGCTAGAATGACTGAAAACTACTGGTGGGTCAGAGTTCGGTGTGCAGGGAGCCCACCTCTTCCTGTGCACACTGCTCCTGTCTGTGGTCAGTGACTTCACGTTGGTCAGTTGTGGGAGTGTGTCCACCACAGTAACTGGCCTACATGACAGGTTTTATTCCCTGAGAGGGCCAGCAAATTAAACACTTGCCAGCACTCAGCTAGACTCAGGTAGGGAATCCTACCATTGCAGTAGGGTTTTGTGCTCACGTGTCCGTGGGTCTTACTAGTTTGACTCACCCAGGCAGGGCTAGATTGGGCCATGCTCCCAGACTGGGTCCAGGTCTATTAAATGGGCTCCTCACCCTCCCTTGGCCAGCAGCCACTTGAGGTCTTCTCTGGCCAGTCCAACCATGCAAACATACTTGAAACCCTGCTGGGATCACGTGTGCTAACATCCCAATGACAGTGACAGTGGGATGGGGAATTGCTCCCCTGGAGAGGTGAAGGGAAGGTAGATAGAGTCAGCTGAATGACAATGGACCTTGGAGAATGACATTGTGTGAGGAGGCGGAGGGGGGGTGGTGTCCTGTCTAGTCTTCACCCACAAGAATAGGAACAGGTGCTCCCTGGACAGGGACCTTGGCTTACTGTTCAGCTCCTGTCCCCAGCACTTGGGCTATGGTTGCTTGTAGAAGGAGCTCTGTACAAATCTGTTAAATGATTGAAAAAGAGGATTCTATTTATTTTTATGACTTACCAGCTGAGGCCTCGTTTAATTAGCATGAGTCTTGCTGCACAAGGTGGAGATACAGGACAACATGAGGAAGTAATTGAAGCACATTCAGTATTCAGGCGGCATCAACTCTTTGCATGCACCGATGAGCAACATGTCTTATTTGGTGGCAGACACAGTGTTCAGAACAGATGTTTCCTTGTTGGTGGATCCATTTACATAGCTCAGCAAACGAATCCTAAAATATCCACTCTCCCCACACTTTGTGTTTCTGAGTCATGAGGCCTCTTCTGGTCTAACACTCTTCAGTTACCTCCTGGGTTTGGTCTAAGCTAAGACTTGTGGGTCAGGCACAGTGACTCCAGCTGGTCATCCTAGCTAGTTGGGAGGTGGAGATAGGGAGGATTGCAGTCTGAGGACTCATTACCCCATCTCAACCAATGACTGGGCGTGTTAGCGTACGCCTGTCAGCACAAATAGGAGGATCGAGGTCTGTGCCAGGCTTGGCATAAAGTGAGGCCCTATCTCAAAAATTATCCAAAGCAGGGCTGGAGGTGATAGAGCATCTGCCAAGTGCAAGGCCCTGAGTTCAGCCCCCAGTATCACCAAAAAAAGAAAGAAAAGAAATTAAGGCTTGTGTAGCCATATTAATACCTATTGCCTGCCAGGGAGAATCAAATATAGCATGGTTTGTGGGGACAGCCCGCTGAATCTCACCTCCCCCTGGACGCAGTCAGGATCCCTGCTCCCTCTAAGGATCTCATTGGAACACACAGACCAGGGAAGACCAGGACTGCAGGTGTCTGTCACTCTGCATTAAAGAGGAGGGGCCCTGTGTGGCTGCAGCACTCCCTGGCAGGGCCGGCCAGCCGTACATGCCGAACCCTTCAGGGCTCTTCTTCCCCAAGGAAATCTAGCCCTGTCTGTCTGTCTGTCCTGGAAGCATCTTCGCTGGGCTGGGAGGCAGGAGGTCAATGTGTGTTCCATGTGCAGTATGCATGGGCAAATTATGAATCGGCTGTCTGGATCCTTCTCTACCTAGGCAGAAATCCCGAGTGTAGGAGGAGGCTTCTCTACAGTCCAGGCCTAGAGTCTGGACTGGCAGACCCAGAGGCTCGCAGCTCCAAGCCCTGAAGGCCAGAGGTTCCAAGTTTTAGATGCCAGAGGTTTTTGGCTGTAGACACTCAGTCAGAAGCTGACTGCTCTGGGCTTTCAGCACCAAGGCCCCAGCACTTGGCAGTACTGCAGTCCTTGGCTTCCAGCAGCAGTGGGTGACATCAGCAGGCAGCACCTGCTGGAGTTACAGCTCCTCAGTGGGCATCAGGTGTGGGGACCCTGAGCCCTTGACAACAGCTATTGTGACAGCTCTTAGGCCTAGGGCATCTGGGACCCTTGGACCTTTAGACTTGGTAGACTCCTGGGACTCTTCCTGCCACCGTGGCCTGCAGTTTCTCATCTCTGGTTCGTCGTCGTCTTCTCTTTCTTCAACCTCAGCTCTCCAGCCTCTCTCACCTTCTTGTCATCCTTGGTTGTCTCTGCCACTCTGTTCATTTCTGCCCTGCCGCCCTCTGGATGCTCCCGCTGTCACTGCCTCTCTGCTTTCTCAGCTGCTATCATCCATTGCTGCTTCAGCTGTCTCTGCTTCGTGTTACCAGCTGATCCCACTGTACTAATGGCGCAGAGCAAGAAGAGGGAAGAAAAGACCACTCAAGATGTTGGAATTAAAGACCCTCTGGTGCCGAAAACTAGACACACGAGAGACAGAAAATCTTCACAAGGCAATTTCTTGTGATCAAAAGGGTGCAAGCATGTACTCACTCAGCTGAGTGGACATGTGAGCACAAGATGGCTGACAGTGGCTCCTCCTTCTATCCCTGATGCAGCTGTATCTGCCCCTCACCTGGGATTTGTCCAGGTCAAAGGTTCACAGTTTTCTCGATTGGCTAAAAGGCTTAGGGGATGGGTTAGGGCACGGGATTTGGCAGGCAATTTTTGCAGGCAATGGGGTGTACAAGAATCCAGAAGAAGAAACAGAACGCTTTAAACAATGCAAGTCACCTGAGATGGTGACCTGAAGAATTTTAAGTAATCTAAGAGGGTGACATATTCTTGGATAGAAAAGATTGTTCTACTTACAATTTCTCCCCTCTTTTAATTATTTTCTTCAAACTCATTTAGGAGCGATTGGCTTTTATGTTCCTGTGTTTCTAATAGAAACAAGTTGTTTTGGTAGGGAGGGGGTGATGGGTGAGGGCTGTCTCAATTAACCACTGTATTAGTCCTCGGACACAAGGAATTATGCAGCATCCTGCTAAAATTAAAACTCCAACCCTTCTATCTCCCAAACCATTTCTCCATCAAGTTAGTGAAGGGATCATTTATATCTGAGTTTTCAGCTAGCTCATTGGATAGGGTAGTTAATCACTGAAGGGCCTTAGTAATAGTTCCATTGGTGGCTGTGTTATTTGGTAAAGATGTGCAACACGAAACTCCATTCATTATGTAAACCCCTCCCTTTTCAACCAACACCATGTCTAATGCTAGCCTGTTCTCGCAAGCCATCTGGCTAGTTGGTCCCAATTGCTCTGCTATTCCTTTGATAGTGTCCCTGGTATAGTTAACAAACCTTCGCTGGTTATAGTAAATATAATTAATCCAATCAACATTTTTATTTGTTGTGAACCACCAAAAGAGTAGTGATTCAAATCCTGCTGTAATTTGATTTCTGGCTTTAAAGTCACTTGGCACCCTCTAGGAGCCCCAATGGCATCAATGTAAACATTGGGCTCCAAGGTGCCTCTGCGGCTGGCTGCAACATCTCTGCTTATATCCCTCCTTTTCCTAGGTGGTGTGGCATGGGCTGGGGATCTAAATGCTATGATGAAAGGGATTTCCAACTGCACCAAAGCACAGGTGCCTGCCCGGTTACCTGGGAGAGTCTCAAGTAAAGGTCCTCCGCAGTACCACCAGACATGGGCTCTGCCAGCCGAGAGCGTGGACTGGTTTGTGAGACTGTTGAAGGACTGGCTTTCACTATATCCTGTCAGGTTTTCCACATTTGTAAATTGTCCCCCCTGCCTGGTGAGACATGAGGTATAATTGACACCTGGGGCAGGTGGCTTAACAGTCCTCAGGGGCTGACCCACAGGACCTCTGGGAACAACAGTGATAATGCCAGCAGG